ATTAAAAAGCAACGTAAAACAGATGTACACCTTCTTAGTACATAGACGTGTATGTGTTTCAAAAGTCTCTCGACAACTTCTTTAGTCATTTCATGCAGTGAATCAGTAAGTCTTATGTGCAAAGCTAAAATGGCGTAATTATGCAAGTACTTTTAAGTAGGCCAAAAATGATAAAAAGACGCGAAAGTTATAGGTAAGAAGGTTGTTTGGAGGGTGTATCTGAATTTTCCAGTACCCTACAAGTGGTTACAAAATCTGTTCAACATCCATCATACCACGTTCCATCCTCAACGCTGCCTTGTTATGACACCATAAGACTTAAAACATGCCTTCACCAATAGAAAGTTAGCAAAAATGGACAATTTCGAAATCCTCAAAGACATATCAGACAGAACCGGAAACTTCTTAACGGAAAAAGTGCATGCTTCACGTTGGCTATGCCCAAATGCAGTAATCCCAATGTCAGTTGCGTGAGAACCTAATGTGACCAGCCCGTGTAAAACGACTGAGCAAGATCGGAGCGGTGCATTTTGCGCAGTTCTTTTAGTTGAGCTGCTGCTTATTTGGCTACAACCGAACACAGACAGCTGGGAGATCCGGAGGAGTAGGGGAAGGGGAGAGGAGGGTGTATCTCGTACGACAGATCAGAAATATGTTCATTCCGGAAAACAGTGAAATTTTCCACATCTTGTTTAAGTGTGGATACGTGCGAATGCTGGAGAACAGATACATATTATACTATGACGTCTGGAATTAGTATGGAGGCAGTACTTATGAGAAATTCTGCAAAGTATTACCAATCGTTTGCTTTTCTTTCTGCCCTGTGTTTAAAGAATTATTTGCAGTTACTTCTGCAGAAATATCACTAGGGAGTTGGGATATGTATTTGGTAGAAACTTTACACACGGTTAAGATTTTGTTTGTATACGTATTAGTAATTTTTGAAGGTAAAGTTGGTTATTGGTGCAACTGGAGGTTTAAAGCAAATTTCATCAATAGCAACGGTAGTGATCCGATGTCTTTTGCTCAAACAGTCACTGTGTGACGCCATTGATACGCCGTATATCTACAACCAGTTTTCACCATATGTTGTGCAGTACGAGAAGGGATTTTCACAAGTAAACATTCTATCAATTTTTTTAAAAATATTTTTGCCTGTTTTTCCTCTTTTTTTTTTTCAGAATAAAAAATAATTTCTTTTCAAATACCCTATTATTCAATTGATGAATTTGATAGCTGCGGATCTTTTGATTCTATATAAAATAATTGGGAGGAATATAATATTTAAAGACTGCGAATGAAAGAGTGTGTAAAGTGAAGGGATTTATAAAACGTTTAGTCTGACACTGTAATAAATGCAATCAACAGTAATGATGAGTGATGATCTATATGTCCAGTCTGAATTTTCTGTGGTATTTTCAGGTAGTGATAGCAGGTTTGAAGAACCGAGGCCATCAAACCAAACGACAGGACGCAATGACAAGCAGTGTTTTCGCAATTTTAGTTGACGAAAATAACGAGATTAACGCCTACATTGACAAACGTTTTAGTTCCAATGTTCATCCATCCGGCTACTAATTAAGTGTTAGTTGCAGGTTGTAAAATTAATATAGGGGCTAAGTATATTTCTTGGTTATCATTTGTGATGACTGTATTTAGGTATTTTCTTCTGGATTATTTGATCTTTTCAGTTTTGCACATAATTTTTTCACAATTGTTATTGTTTACAGGAGCTTCCCAACTTGATTTATTAGGGGTGAATTTTTAGAGAACAGTTTCTTTACTATGTCTGCTGTAATCGTATTATTTGCTTCTTATTTAAAGTTTTTTGCTATTTCTCCATTTCTTATCTCTCGTCTTATTGAGGATGACTTTTTTTGCAAAGAAAAATAAGTGATCATTTAATTTTTTAAATAGTTTTCTGTAAACGAGCTGTATAGAAAGCTAAAGGGAAAAGAAAATATGCGATAAAGAAAAAATAATGTTAGATGCAAAGAATGAAAAAAAAAAAAAATTAGTATATGATTTAGTTGTAGTAATGCTGTTAATGCGTAAGGAAAAAAGGCAGAAATCAAGCATTATTTTTCTCATGTATTTTTGTGAAGATCTCTGCATTCGATTTCGTTTGTCTGTTGATATGTTATACTGTTGTATCAATACATGTTTTTCAATTCTTATTTTGCATATAATCTGAAGTGTTTTTGTCAAACTATTGTAAATCTGTACATTTATCGTCTTTACTTGTGTTAAGATTTTTATTTTCGCACGAAATTCATCTTTTTTTGCCTTTTTTTTCTGTTGCGTTTTGACTTTTTTTTTTTCTGCTACAATGTAATATCAGTAAAAAATAGAAATGTTATCTTAATGGTCAATATGTTTTTCAATTCTGTATACATTTTTAACAGAAAACTGTTAAGTTCAGAAGGCTGGTCGTTGCAAAATGATTGTTGAGAAGACTTTACATACTGCCGGTACTAATAAGACTGCTAGCTTTCTGTACTTTCATTAATTATGGTAACGTTCATTGGATTTCATTTGCAGATATCAGAAATCGGCTTTATAAGCTGTTCGGCACCGAAACACATTTAAACTTTCTGTTATCTTCACTTTTTTTTTTTTAAGTGGAGTCGATGTTTCATGTTCAGAGGTAATTCGATTGGCTTTTACAGGTACAGAGGGAAATGGTTAGATGATCATTGAACAGAGCGCTACTGTTATTGCTGTTATTTTTGAATTCCTAAACTTAGCAAGTTGTTCAGATAAGAATCATTGGCATTTGTTTCAATTGCATAGTTATTGGATGAACAGCGGGAAGAGCATACAATGACAGTGGAGTATGGGAAAAAACTACCAAACACCTGCAATTAAATCAAGGCTAGATGTTCCTGACCTCTAACATTTATTTTTACCCCAAATAATTTAGCTCATGGCTAACACGTAGTCAAGAAAACAAGAAATAAAGCGTTCCTTTCACGACAACAGTTCTAAAAAATAGACCTTTAAAATTAAAGTTGGCTATATTTCAGTACTATTATTTATTTTTTCAAATTCGTATTTGATTACATTAAAGTGTATACAAAAACAGCATTAGAGGCTAATTCAGCTCTTTTAAGCGAACAAATGAAACCGTAAATGTGAAGTGTAACTATGAGATACGAAAAGCTTATTTTATATATGAACTTTAACACCTTTTCACATTTATTTTTGAGCTATTGCGTTGCTGATGCCAATCTCTCCTGTAATATCAGTAAACACTCATTCTCACTGATCTCTTCAGCGTATCTCAAATGTAATTGTCAGAGCATCAATTAGAAAAAGAAAATGATCTGAAACTTCCAGCAGAATGCCTTATAAAATAATCTTCAGCGTTCTTCAGTGAACCTGCAGGTTTTCTTAAGTTTTCAATGTCTCCATCTCTTTTAACAATCAGTAAAAGTGAAGTAATCTGAAATTTAGCAACAACATTTCAATTAAATTATTGCTTGACATTCAAATTTATACACATGTCAGAATTCTTTTACACATCGGCTGTTAAGTACTCTATGTAATTTTCAACTTTTATATTAATACCTGTTTTCTACAATTAGAAGAAACAGTCAATAGTTCTGTCAAAATAAAAACTGTAACATTTTGCTTGTTAAAGGAACGCTTTAATTATTCTGTAGCAAAATCTTCTCAAACTACTATTTTTCTCCAGTTTCCTAGTTACTGACCATTTACAAGACTGGTATAGCATTTTTGCAC